GCCATCGCTAGTAGGTTGGAGGCCATCGCTAGTAGGTTGGAGGCGATCCCTAGTAGGTTGAAGGCCATCGCTAGTAGGTTGGAGGCGATCGCTCTCACGTTGGAGGCCATCGCTCTTAGGTTGGAGACCATCGCTAGATATCGCTAGTAGGTTGGAGGCCATGCTAGTAGGCTGGAGAGGCCAGCTCTGAGGTTGGGGGCCATCGCTAGAGGTTGGATGCCATTATAGTAGGTTGGAGGTCATCGCTCTTAGGTTGGAGGCCATCGCTAGTAGGTTGGAGGCCATCGCTCATAGGTTAGAAAGGAAGAAACTTTGGATATAGAGATCATAGCAGGTCCGGCAGGGTTTGGACCTCACAAAAGGATACCTTATATAGGCAAGCGGCCCCGAACAGTCACAGCACACCACATACTTCTTACATGTGCTGCTAGCGGCTGTTGTGTCAGTTAACGGGACCGTGACAAACTAGTGTCTATACTATATACTGTATGTGAATGACCAGCTGCTCTTTCTTGGAGAGCACACACACAAGAGAGCACGCACACGAGAGCATACATGAGTGTACAAATCAAAGCACACGCCTGATTGCAGTGATACCTTGTATACGTAGTGTATAAATATGTTTTTTTCCATCTGCGTCGTGTGCCACCGTCTGTCGAGCAATCCATGTCTGAATTCACTACATGTCTTATCTGCTGGCAAACAAGTTCTGTCAAGGCCATATACAATAGACAGCAATTCTACTCTATATTATTTCCCTTTCATCCATCTTTGGGGCCAAATGGGTGGTTTTTGGTGGGGGGAAGGATGCAAACATAAATATATATATATATATAGAGAGAGTATCAGAATTACATTATAATTATATATGTATTGCAATACACATAGATCAGAACAGTCGATGGTCAACCTTATCGATCCCTGTTTCGTCGATTGACCAATGGCTCCAAGTCGGAGGTTGCATGCAGAATAAGCCATCAACATCGCACCTTCCAATACTTTCCAACACTTTCCGAAACCATCCGTGGACCCGTTCGTTTTCTGCGTTCTCTGGCCGGGCCGTGTCATCCAAAAACACACGTTTCCTGTTCTGGCCAGATCCTCTCCAAAAAGCGCTCAATGTCACTCGCTTTCTGGGACCCTCCACTTCCAGGTTCTCCACCGCATGCGTGTCCTCCGGGTTCAGCGCAATCGCCTTGCGCCTCGGATCGATCGACACCGGTGCGGTGAGTGCCGACTGGGTGTCGTGAGCCCCGAGGTGTCCTTCTTGATTGAAAAAATCCGGTTATATACCGTTTATAAACATGTTTAAACCACCTGTCGAGCGTGAACAACATAAGTATATAAACCTAATTCGATATGCTTTTGACACTCTGTATATTATATATATATATGTGTTTGTTAATTAAGTCATTATTGTGTTTATTTATATAGTTTCTTGGGTATAAGTTATAAGTTTTTAGTGGGAAAAACATGGAAAAACCATATCCCAATGGCTCAGGTTTTTCAGGTTGTCCACGTACTTCCTGGGTAGCTTTTGAAGATCAAGGATGACTGTCTGAACCAACAAAGAGAGAAACTGGAGGGTCCAGTGGCAGCGGAGGGATGGTGGATGGTAATAATGTTCTTCGAGGCCGTCCAAAGTCGTGGATCTTTTGAGGTGTCCTTCACGCTAGTACCTTGAAACATCTTGAAACTACAGAGTTGGGAAGTTGGGAATGCACCCTACCTGCGACAACGCTCTTCACAAGTTGGGCTGTTGACCCCAAGCTGACGCGGACCCGGTAGCCTGGATCGTTCCCTTTGCATCCCTAAGCAACGAATCATTTTGCAACCAACCGCAGCAAGAATGCCCATTGGCCCAAACCAACTTGATAGTATTGATAAACTTCCCCCACAAACTCCTTTCAGCGTATCTTGTGCTCATCCGAGCAGGTAGGTTTATTCAGCAAACTGTGGAGCTCTCTTTGGCTTCTCAGCTATTCTTCAAATCACCAACCTTCTCCAGTTAGCTAAGAATCACCACAACTATCAAAAACATCGTCTTTGAAATTAGCATCCACCTAGGATACCCCATTTTGTACTATAAAACGGTTTTGGGTTTACAAAATGCAAGGCGCATCGTTTATTCAAGTATCGAGTTACTACAAAATGACTGGTTTGCACCACTCTCGAATGCTGATTTCTTACAAAATGATGGTTCCCAGTGGCAAATTTTGGGAGGTATTATGAGACATGGTACTTCTTACAAAATGATTGTTCCCAGAGGCATATCTGCGCGCTTGTAGATACAGTAAACTTTTTTACACATAGACATGACATAGGCATTTTATAACATTTCAAGAATTAATGCTACAAAATGCATGTGCTGATATGTGATGTGCGCGTGCTACACATTCCTTTCTTACACAATGCCAGGTTTGATCTCATGTACAGTCAATTGTCAGAGTCAACCTGAAAGTGATCCTAGGCATGGCTTTTTGTAGCTGCTTTATGTCTCTTACAAAATGCAAATCCTGATTGCTCTCGGAAGTAGCCGAATCCTTACAAAATGCAAATCCTGACAAAGTTGTCTCTTACAAAATGGCATGGCCTGCCACCCAGTAAGATCACCAAATGTACCGTTACAAATGGATGATATGACTCTGCATTGATGAAATCTGTTTCTCTCGTCCCCACTGGGGCATGCACAAAGCCTTGTAGGCCAGGCCAAACTCCTTCGACCAGGCAAAAACATGCTATCCAAACGGCATAGCTGGATCCAATAGCGCAACAGACTAGGCAGGCAGGCCTGACCGGGCCTGACCCTCTGTAGTCACACGATCAAGCTTTCACCTTCCGTACCCTTCACATTCTTTCAAGCGGATCCGGGAATGCCAAACGCTTGGGTTCTTGGACACGAGTGTTGCGACCCGACTCGCCTAGCGCTGCGACCGGTCGGGAGTTCCCGACTGAGTTTTGAGAACCCCAAGAAAGGCGCCACACCGGCGAAGTATGTCGCCCAACCCACCCCAGCTGTGCGGGATCCAAATTTGGGGATTCATGTCACGGACATGGGTCAAAAAACAACCAGCTTTCGGAACAGACCCAGGATTCACCACCAAGTCAACCATGAAACGTCCGTATCAGAGCAGGCTCTATTGAAACGGACGCGGACATGGACAGCGGTGAAAAGCTTGGGCTTCACCCCCAGCACAGTGACCACGTGATGTCAACGTTCAACCCTGGAATCTGTTTGGTTCGTCATGTGTGTTTTTTTCTATGCACCAGGGGGGTGGATGTTAGCCTAGTTTTGACGCCAAACATAATTAGTTATATTACAGCTAGCGCTAGTATATTATATGTTTCTTCAGGACTTGCGATGGGAGCAAAGTGATGGAGTGGTGGATTTGACCCAACTTTGTCTTGCGAGGAACCCAAGTGAGTGGACCTTGGGTTCCCTGACTTCTCTCTACACACTCTGTTGGTCGCTCGTACTTTAGGCTCGTCGACTTCTGGATCCTCAAGAGACGTGAGTCTCGGCGTTTCCATTCCTTATGCACACCTCTCTCTGCGTTTTTGAGACACGAAAAGGTTTTGAAGTCCACAGGGCTTCCTTCCATGGCTTCCCATGTCCTTTGACTGTTTACAGGGCGTCTGTTCTACATCAACATTCCATGTCTTCCTCGTCTAGATGGAAGCGAGCACCTTTCTCACAATGAGTTTCACAAAGAGCATTGTCCAGTCGTACCATCCGGATGAACCTATTCCGCAAGGAGTGCGCGAAGAAACAGGCCTTGTTGCGCATATACGCGACGCCCAAATTGGCCTCAGCAGCAAATACAACATAATACATGCTATATGATGCCCACACACAAGAGGAACCTTGCAAATAGAAATACTGAAAGTGTAGCGCCAAAGGCCTCCAAAGGACCTATTTCTGTACAAACCCTGTGTAAGTCATGTTGCAGGGGGCTTGTACTGATCTGGGGAAATGGCTGGACTTCTGTTCTAGACAAAGATCCCAAACAAATGGACTCCAATTTGTTCAGCTATAGGGCTATAGGTCATATAGCCTTGGGCATATCCCGCATATCCCATTGTCAGTAACAGTGGATGATGATGTTTCAGTTGCAAGCCTTTCTCAAATATAGCGATCACCTTTTACCAACTGGGAATGGGCCAAACCCTAGGTCATATCATCTAAGCCAGGTCTTATTTGGTCCCAGCGATTGTGTAGGCTTCAGTCACATGAGCCACCAAACAGGCCCAAAGCAAGTGAGAATCACTTCAAACAATTATCAAACACACCATGAATAGAATCCTTTGGTGGAAGCAGTAATCAGCAATACTGTATGTCTTCTTAGCCGGGCACCCCCACGACTTCCACGTCAATGACAACAAACTCCAACAAATCACAAACCACTTGTCACTTGTCTTGAAAAGCCTCGAAACAAACCCATCAAGTAGGTTATATATACTATACTCGATAGGAAACTATTAGTTTCATTGGAACACCGGGAACACCCCGTGTAAAGAAACGGTGTTCGCTTTCCGTCGCTTGGCCGTTTGCATCACCGGATTCGCGGATCTCTCCGCGGGGCATCACGTCCGAGATCCCCAACAAAGGACACGTGCTCGCCCACGAACCTACCAGACTGGTCACCGATGGTCGGTGAATGAACGGCCAGAGCCAGCCCGAGTTGCGGCCGGTGGGAGATGGGAACATGAGGTGAACCATGAGGTACAGTACCTCGGTACAAAAGCACCTTCACCTTGAATTTGGAAAACGGCTTTCCGGCTTCAAACAGGCAGCAAAACGTTTCAACATGACGATTCTTCAGCGTGACCTCGAAACAATGAAACACGTCCTCAAAAGCTGGTTCGACTCCCCTGCCACCAAACCGAAACGGAGGTAGTTACCACAGATTTCCAAAGACCACTTGAAGAAACTGGCAGTTGATTCTCAAAACCGCTTGCCAAGTGTCACCTTTTGCATGGCGGAGGCTTCCACATGCACACCCAGCATTAAAAAATACAGAAACCAGCGCTGTGAGCGTGTGTATTTTTTAGTGTTACTTATGCAGAGGAAAATCTAAACATTTTAAGTATTTCCTGTGCACGTGAGAATATGTGAATACCAAAGACCTAGAGGAAATACAAAACATATCAAACATACCAAGAATACCAAGAGGAAATACCCAAAAAAAATAAAAATATCCAAAATACCAAAAATACCAATCCTACCAATTCCAAAAATACCAAAGTAAAGCAAAGTTGAACATTCATTCATTGAAGACGCGCTGTAATAAAAACATAAAGTCTCATAGAATAGACAGCAGCACTGTAAGCGTATGCATGCACTGTAAGCGTATGCATTTCATGTGGCAAAATTTCTCTATTGCACACCTAAAAATAGCTGATTTTACTGGAAAATACACACGCTCACAGCGCTGCCCTCTCAAAACACAACACACTAGAGCCACTAGACAAACAAAGGTAGAGAAACAAACATAAACAAACTGCCTGTTCCCGAACGTTCCCATGTTCCGCATGAAGCACGAAAAACTCCTGCAATCATCAGCAAAACAAACAAAACATTTGATTATTATTACTTGACGTACAAATCGTGGCAATATCTCTTTGGGATTCGTCTTTCCCCTGCCTGGCTGCGGCTTTGAAGCTCTCAATTGCCTGACATCGATTACGATCAACGAAGTGATTTCAAGCTGTCGATCGCAGCAAACTTACCCGGCGAACGTGAAAAAAGTGGCAAGTGGTTAGAACTGGGGCCTGAACTCAGAGAACTAAACAGCGGACAATGACAATGAATGTAGGATATAATAATATATAATGTACAGTAGGATTGTTGAACCTCTGTGGGCAAAAACTGCAATGTCCAAGAAAAGGCAGTTGGATACAGTTGGGGATTCTTGGCAAAGCTATTTCCACAAATGACCTCAATATAGATGTCCAACACCTTTTTTCGCGTTCTCTCTTTGAGGGGCACTCATAAGGGTAAGTGCAAATAGGACCATGGTTCGATGATGCTCTCCGCATGTCACCATAGCACCATGGGACCATGGTGCCTCAAGAAGAAGGAAAAGCTAGTCAGGACACCTAATCAAGATAAGGCTCAGTATGGGATCGGATCATGATCGTAGTGTGTCACACTTCGAAGGACGATCAGTCTTACAGACTTGACGTACAGTCCACTCACTTACGAGATATAGTATTGAACCTTATTGAACTTGTTCTTGTAGATGTATAGACTTCTTAACTTACTATACTCGAGCGCTTTACTGAACAAGTGGATCAACTGTGGAACTGCTTGACTTCCAGACCCCCACCGCAATGGACTTGGCGGGACCAAGGGTCCACTTTCGATCATTGTCAATCGCTATGCCGGGCGCTTGTAGTATACCAAATATACCAAATCAAAGAACGTGCCAAGTTTAAAGTTTTCGCGCAATGAATGCCTCCATGAGCCTCAACTCTTCCCTTTTTCCCTAGCTGTTCGGGGCCAATAGTTTGCATCTAGTTTCTTATGACCAAGGTCTGGTAGCCAGCAGATTCGGTCATACAGTAGCGCGTGTTTATGCTGCATCCGACAGTGTGCATTCAACCCCCAAAGTCTCGATCGAACCCAGGTCATAAAGGCACGATCGCTCAAGACCATGCGCTCCAAATACGCCGCAGCGACCAGACTCGAGACTGCAACAGAACCCTCGGACTCCCGCTTCTCAGAAGGTACTTGGACCCTCCAAGGCTACATCAAAAGAAGGGCTCCAATCATCGCCTCAAACGGTAAATGGATTGATAGGGTAAGGAAAAGAACATTTAAATCCTCTTCCATGACCCCTTTTCATACGGTTTCATTCGGTTTCGATGCGTTATTTGCATCGAATCTTTACGGGTCCTCTTCGGTCGCATCACGTGTCCCACCTCTGGGAGGCGATTGGCATTGGCCAGCTCCTCGCGGGAAGTCCGAGACTGGCTCTCCGAAGCTTTCTTGAATGGGCCTGGGTGAAGGGTCCAAATCGGGATGCTATAGGTCTTCCATCATGGATTGGATTCGATCTTACATGCACACTTTGGGAGGGTGTATGTAGTAGGCTGGCGGCTGATAGAACGCCGCCAGCTTTTCTTCACGTCTTTGCTTTTCAGTTGATGCTACGTTGGGGGATGGGGGTGGGGTGGGGTGGGGTGGAGTGGGGCATGTTAACGTGCGCTGGCACTTACGTCATGAAGTTGATGCTACGTTGCACCAGTGGCTGTACAGATCTTGGCATGGCTCCGGCTCCGACACTCCTGCTTGTGTATAGGAACACTTGACGCACATGTGGAAGCAAAGGTGACAAAATGAAGTAGTTTGTCCGGACGTTCTGGGCCATTCATTTTCACATGAAAAGAAGAATTCATTGTAAAAACCAACAAGAAAACAACCTGTCATGATGATAAAACGAAGCGGCGTTCTATCTGCCGCTTACCATGTAGTATTATGTACCTGCTAAACCTTATAATCACCTTTTGTTGTCCATGTCGTTAATTGTTGCTTTTTGGATTTTGTTGGTATGCAAGGACGAGAATTGTTGTCCAGGACGTGCTTTACCGTAATAATCCCTGAACTTGGTCTACTTCAGAACACTCAAATATATCTTCAATATTTTTGGACATGTAAAACCGTTCAGGCTTTCAAAAGGACGTGCCATCACAAAATGGACGTAAATGTTGTGAGAACTTGTAAACAAATATCTTTTAGTATCCTGGACTCGAATTCGTGTCTGTCCAGGGTAGCAGGTAGTGTTTGCATGAGCTTTTGATGCTGCATCATCAGGTGAATGGTAATTACGCAGCTCAGATATTGTCCTCACCATTCCAGTTATTGTGGCGCAAGGTGGAGGACTTGTTCTGGCTCTGTGGCCAGCCCTTGTGATGTGTTTGATGCTAACAAAGCCCAACAATGCCTTGGTCTATTTGTATGATTAATTGGTGGTTGGTCAACCATGCTGCATATTGATCACCTCTAAGGCGTGGAGATCTTCCTTTATAACAAACTCCCGGGGGCGCAGTGCCTCTGATGTGGCGAGATGTATACTGTATATACGTGATTTGACTCACGCGGCACGCGGTCACGTGATTTGACTCACGTGCACGGTGCTTGATTGCTTTTAATGCAATATAGTATGATAACTAGTATGATATAGTATAGTCCTGTCTTGTTGGCAAAATGCGTTCCTTTCAACGGATGAATATGTGTCTTCTTCAGTGTCATGGCTAGCTCAGACTCTCGGAGGTCAGGTAGCCACGGGTAGCCACAAGATCTGGACGAGTCGGACGAATCATCGGACGAATCATGGGCATCGCCGTGTCTAATTCGCCGTCATAAGGCCCTGATTTAGAGGTGTCGATTTGGTGGGTCGTGCAGCCCCAGAGTTGCTGGCGCTGCTTGCGCTTTTGGGGACTGAGAAAGACTGCTCACTGTGCTCACTAGTCGAAGGTTTGGTCTCCAGGAAGTGGCACTGGTGGCCGATTGCCCAGCAATATATACGAGTAACATAATGCAAACCAGCCATGCCGAGTGGCGACCGAAACTGTGGATCTGGAAGTAGCTTTGGTTGATGTCAGCGGAACCCTGGTCCGCAAGTTCTCCAAACTTCTCACCCGATCCTCCTTAAATACCTGCCCCCAAAAAACTGTAGAAGCCCGCCTAGAGTCGCCGAGCAAACCCCCTTCTTCATGTGAACATGTGAACAACAATTCCGCGAAAACACCCCCGTGTAATTTTGCTTGGAATCCTTACTGCCCTCCATCCTCCCACCCTGGTTAGATCCGAAAAAGATCGTTGCGGAATCCTGTGCAGTTGCGGAATCGGACTTGATCCTCGTCGCTAGTACAAGTAGGTTGGTTGGAGGCCTTCGCTTCCCTAGTGGCTTCTTGCTCCTATTAGTGAGGCCAGGAGCCTTTAGTAGCGTCCTTGCTCCGTTCGTAGCGATGCCCTTTGTTCCGTTCGTAGCGTCCTTGCTACCCATCCTCTTCACCCTTTCGTTCGCTCCTTGGCGACCCAATCATGCTGTCCGTTGGGATCCTCGAGGTCGTAGCCCGGTGGCGGTACTGGCAGGCGGACCGAGAAGGGGACCGGGAAGCGACCGAACGGTCTGCTTTCGGCTGTTTGGGCCGGGAAGATGGTGAATGCGATGGCCTAATAGGAATGGCCTCCAAGCTAATAGGAATATATGTGCCGTGGGTTGTTCAGTTTGTTCATGATTTGGAAGAGACCAAATGAGCAAAGTATACTTCTTGCTTTCCCTCCCACGCCACATGTACAAGTCTCTTCTTGAGTCTTCGGGCCTTACAATTTCTTCCTGACTTCGACTTCAACCTCAAATTCCATCACTTGTCATAATTGGTGATTGCTGCTCAACACCACTGTGGTAGTTCAAGTGATTCTGATAAGCTTGGACCCCAAACCATGGAATGTGTCTTGGCGGCAAACTGTGGGACATCGATGAGCCTAGCTAGGTTTGCCAATCAGGCAATGCAAATGCTATCCTCTGTACATTCCGGAAAGTTGCTGAACGATTTCAGGCGGAGAACAGAACATTACCCTGTCCAATCATCTGCCCATCCAACTCATTTGGCTCCCGCACATTGCGCCCAAGCGAGGTACCAAAGCAGGGCCTCAGCGCATCACTTGGATGGGGACCCGGTGTTTCATGATTGGACCTGCTCTGCCTCAGGTGTTGCACATGGGATTGAAAGGTCGCCGGCCACCGTGTCCATCCTCTTGTTTCAATTTGATCAGACAACAATGACATAACCTGGCTGCCCAATCTTTAAAGGAATGAATGATATGGCCAAGTGTGCATCAAAATGTGGAGACCTCCCACCAATTTTAGTCGGACAAATACATAAATTATGTATTTGTCACTATCATTATTTATCCTTATTACCAAAGGGGTCTTTGGGCATCCCTCCAATACAAACCAGTTCTCTTCCGATGATCGTCATCAATGGATGGCTTTTCACCGCTTAGTTGTTGTTCTTCACCTGAACTGGTTTTCTTCAACCTTGCCTCAGCCCGGTTGTACCGGGCTCTGTGGTAAAAGTCAATCTCTGGGGATGTGACCTTCTTAAGGATTTCTTCTTTGAGCTTCATGAAACATGCGTTCAAATTCCTGGGCCTTCTCAGCCAAATCAATGTGAACACGTTTTATCGCGATCCTTTCTCTAGGCAGTAGCACTCTATAATCAGCAATATTCCTTATTTGATCTTATTTGGCTGTTCGACATATCAAACATGTGCCAACTCGCATGCAAAGTATGATACAATCCCTCTACTATATAGATGGTTTGGCGCGGCATCTCAGTGTCGACCTCAATCTTCCGAGGTCGTAGACCCCAACAGCAACAGCAAAACATTGCTATTGATTTAGGAACACTGAACACTTCATTAGGGTCAAACGGTTTGCACCGGGCATTCCGTCAGGGCCGTTCATGCGGAATGGAGGTCCATCCAGGCGGCCGGAGCATGGCCTTGGGAAGGCAGTCCCTGCGTGTGAAACGCAGTGCTTCTTCAGGCTCCCGCCCACGGAGTCAGCAGGACGCCGCTACCCATCGAGGTTTTGGAGTTGTCTTTCAAGGGAGTTGCCCTGCCCGGCCCTGCCCGAGGCTAGTCAAGTTCAGTGTAGCACCCCAGATCAAACGAAATCTGGGATGATGAAAGAGGGCCCCGGACCGGGTCCACTGGATTTGGTTTTCGTCTGTTGGGTGGTCAGCTGTGAATCAATCTAGGGCCAGGGCGCGTGTACAGTCGCATAGTCAAAGAAAGAACTGAAAGGGTGAAGGCTACTTTCTCCTGAATCTTGGGCCTTCGTTGACCTGACAGAAAAAGAACCCTGCGGTTGTATATCCAGCAAAGTCATAGTCCCATAGCGCGGGTGACCTGATTTCGTTGTCCGCTTTCTGGGTGAACAGAAATGCGGATCTTTCAAATTCTCAGGCTCCATTCTCTTACCTTCAGTCCTGGATTGTTGAGTGGGCAGCCCGAAAGTGCTGCAACACTGGGGGGGTCATGTTTTTGGGGGTGTCAGCAAATCTCAGACAGGAAAAGCTTGAAGCCAAAAGCATCCGGATACAGGACACTGAATAGAGAACCAACAGCATGAAGCAAAACATGGCGGCAGTCCTACAGTATTCCAAAGAACCCAATGTTTGCTCATTACACAGGTACTCCGCCACCTCAAAATTGCCATGAATCACCTCAAAAGGTCTGGATTCGAGCTTGGGATCAGTGGGTATGTTTGTTAATTTAATGTAGACTCTTGATTCACAACACCCCCCTCATTTGGATTGTAAAGCCTCTTCATATTTGAGGGTTTTGTTGATCAAACGTCTATATACTACATAGCCTTTTCATTTGTAAAAAAACATCTTACCGGACCATTGATACTATTGACAGGTGGACTATGGTGGGGAAGGGAACATCTCCCTTTCAAGTTAAGCCATTTCTTTTGTGCACCAAAACCCAAACACTGAGAAAGTTCAGCCACAGGTTGTCTCCTGAGACACCGTTGCAGTCCATAACTGTTTTGTAAAGGGGTCGGGGAGGTTCATTGGTTTTGAGATCATGCAATGTTGGAAAGTGGTTACACCATGTTACACCATCATACAATGTGAGATCATCATGTGGACTACATATCTTACATGTTTGGTTCATGTGTTATTTTGTAACCGTGTTATGAAAGCAACTGATCAAGTCACAACAAGTGTTTGCAATGTTGGAGGCCAGGTACTCCAAGGGGGGCCAATATGCAGCAAGTGATCCATGTGAGCGATCGCCGTGAGACGCGTATCTTTAAGAAAGTCCAGCACACGGGATTCTCCCTGAAAACTCTTTTCGATCCCCTTTTGTAAAGGCAAATTCTCATTCGTCCTACTAACCAAGTAACCTTTACTGCAAAAAAACGTCCAAGCGAAGAAGAGACCGCCCACACCACAACCAGGAGGCTTGTAGTGGGATATCCTCCCAAAAGCTAAATGTTTCATGTCCATGCCAAATGCGGCAGTGGCCATGTGCCGTTCCTATTGATCTCCTCCACCTCTCAGATGGGGCTCCGATGTTCCTTTGACTCGTCCACCCATTCCCCTCGGTTCTTCGCGTGAAGTGCTGATGTGACTTCCAACCAGAAATTTTGAAAGGCTCCAGTCCCCTTCCTTTGAGGGAGTGATTGGTGGGGAAGATGATGGAAGGTGCCTCTGGGTATTACCAGTATTGCTCACAGGATCAATGGTCACGTAATCCATGTGGTCCAACCGCCTGAAGCCTTCACCACCAGGCGGAAACCTTCAAACACCGTCCTGATCCGGTCCGAAAAAACACGAACCGGTCTCGCTGCGCGGCTCATCCAAAGCTCTTTCATTCAGAGATCCTCCAGCTGCCCTTTGGTGGGAGCTGGAACCAGCTTTACTCGCAAATTGATCGGTGTTGATCCAAGAAAGCACCAGCCATTTAGGAGTGCTCCTACACCACAGGAGTTAGACACTCAACATACAGGACCGCCCAATTCAGCTGGTGGACAGGCGGTCATGTCAATGTCGTTTCTGTTGAGCCAGCTTATTCCAGCTCAAGTTCCAACCATCCTTACAAATGTCAGATTCTCCCGGGAAGGATAAGGAAGGCAAACGGCAAACTGCCTTGTTTAACTTTTTTCAAACGGATTCCATTGCAGTTTTGCACTGGATCCCTGTGGGGGTTCGACGTTCATCGCTGCTCGGCTCCCGATTCCGCCCCGCACCACCACAACGCAGCCACTCTCATGAGCTGAACAAACAAGCAGTTCTGATGAAAGCAACGTCCTGACAAACAACCCCGGCCCAAACTTCCCATCTCTGTGCATGTAATGCAACAAAACACAGCGCCGTGCAGTGGGAGATACCGTACCTCCTCTTGAGTGCAAGCAAACTCAATGACCAAGGAGGGTACCCGCCATGTATTCGCCATTCTCCAAGTGTGCAAATTCTCTGCACAGGGATGAAGGTGTTGCCATGTGAGAGGCAAAGTTCTGGTGTCACATCGTTCCACCGACATGCCGCGATAAGCATGGTTTTGAAGGACCAAATCGAATGGTCAGTACATTCCTACAAATAGACAACCCGACCCGAGTTGGCTGCAAATGGATGGAGCTATGAAAAAACATGAGCAAACAAAAGATCAACACCCTGGCACCCAAGTGCATGGGGCGAACAACAAGTCTCGGTCTCTCGCAAGATCTCTCTACTCCCCTGCAAAGCTCACACGGGCAATCTGGAACAAACTTACAGTATTCACCCCTGATTCTGGTGGCCGTTTGTTAGCTTAGTGCTAGCTTGCAGGGCTGTACCCCTTGGGATGCCTAAGATCCCATCAGTTTTTGTTCGGCGCTTTACAATCTGCTCACTTGCTCTCCACCTGCGATCTGGGATACGTGGGACACGAATGACGAATGGACACGATTCATCTGCCCTGCCATGGGCTCACAATCCGGACCGCGCACAAGGCCTCCCGAAACAAGGAAGCAACCTGTGATCCAAATCTGGACCAACAAACAAAATGTATCCATGCATCTGCATGTCTAAGACTGTCCAAATTTAGAATTTGAGTTGCCGGTGCAAAAAATGTGTAATGTTTATAATTATACGGGAATACTGTATAAATATAGTAAAATAGTATTAAACAATCAAACAAACAAACATCGCAAGATATCCCAAGGTCGGCATGGCTTTTGGTTTGCCTCTTGACTCTTCACACGTTCCCTATACAAGATGACACAACGTTCCTGTGGCTCTAAAGTGGTTTCCTGCAAGCTTTCCAGAGAAGTACTGCATATAGGCCACCAGAGTCCATGTCTGCTCATCGGACATGCAACAAAATGTCCATGTCAGATTTGTTAAGCCGACTTAGAGTAGCTTGTTTGAAGCGAGCCAACCCTTAAACCGTGGCAACTTTGCTTTGGATCTTTGGGGGACCCAATCCCAGCCCCAAAAGAACCGTCAAGAACTACCTGCCCTGTGCTAAAATGTTCGATTGCCAATCGGTGGCGGAGTGGCAACAAAGAGCCTCGGCCCAGTCACGTTTGAACTTCTCCAAAAGCGCTCGCTCGGAGTTCTCCTGGACGCATTTGAGCAGCAAAAATGAAACAATGCGTTTTGCGAGGGGAGGCGCGGTGTACAGATGTGCAAAACCATGAGCAAATGCTTGGCTTGGAACATGTCCCATTCTTGGGTGACTTGGAGTCCTGGAATTTGTTTCTGTTTTGGGGTGCTGGCCATGCACGTTATGATATCCATTAATCCCTTCCACCATTTAAAATAATAAAGCAAAGGCCCGCCCCCTTATTAAAAGTTCCTCGGGTGGGGGTCCCTGAAATAGAGGTTGTCCAAAGTCCAAAATAGGGTCAGTGGGAGGATCCTTTTGAAGAATCATTGATTACATATGAAATGCATATTTCCTGGCAGGCGCAGCGCTTTGTGAAGCTTGAAGTGCAGATTTCGTGCAGAAACCTAGGCAAAGCTTCAAACCGAAAAGTCACCCAGGATTTTTTTGACAACATTCTTTTATTAAACTCGTATCAAACATGAAAAAACCTCCAGATCGAAGGGTCGGTCTTCCTTTCCCTTTCCAAAAACCTTTATTCAAATAGTGACTCTTCATTAGACTAACAACTTAAGCCTTCGAAAGGTGATGTCGCTGTGCCATGCGGTTTTGCGTGGCCTCGGTGGCAAGTGCGTTTGCGTGAGCCCGTGCCATTGGGGGAAGGAAAACCTGTTTTCTTTATGCCGGTCAAAGGGTTCCGAAACCAGCGTGCAGCATTGAGGCCACCTACGAGTGAAGGCCGGGGCGCAATACCTGGCTTTTCTGAACTCCACCAAACTCGACCATGTCGGTAGTTTATAGTAGCAGTTTTTAAGGGCGGTAATTTTAAAACAAATATATATAGACCGTACTTAGGGGGTTCCGACACGTGTTGTTTTATTTGGGGGATGCTTTTAAATAGGTACTCCTCGGGATTACAAGGGCCATAGGATGCCATAGGCCATAGGGCCATCGTTATCCAAACGCATCGAGTGGCAGAATGTCACATGGGTCTAGTCTAGTTGTTGCATTAGCAATTCATTGATACTGGAAGATTCCCAACTGGGGATATGGGGTATGAAAGGTTGTATTCGCTGGTGGATATGAATATTTTTGAGGCCTATGGCTACGCCAAGATCTTGACACATGAAGTTAGATGGAGAACATGAATCTGTACTTGAGAATACACACATGGACAAGTGACAACCCTCGTGGAAAATGTTTTGGACATCGTGAACACCTACTGTACCTTTTGTTTGTTTAATGCAAATCCACATAACATTTACAGGAATCTTCATGTTCTTTTGAAGGTAAACTACAATGGAATCTATAAAACATTGTTTTCGAAATTTGTCCGTAAAACATGGCATGTCACCCCTTTACAACAGCTGGCTTGCAAACAGGCTATACCACTTCTTGGGTCTCGATGTGTTAAAGGACTTCATGGCCCAACATCCACCACCATCATCCACCATCCATCAACGAGATACGATCATACTGTAGGAGCCCCTTGGTCGTTCGCGACACATATGACAAATAGGACACACGGAGTTTTCAAACAACTCAACCTCGTTTGGTTCCAACAACTTGGGTGATGGATTCCGCTTCTGACCATGTTTCAAATCTGAACACTGCCCACACTGCCCGCCAAACTTCTCCACGCGCGCGTGAGAGTCGACCGCGTGGACAGTCAGTCTGCCTTAGGCACCACCTTCCAGCCATACGCGCAACCTCCACGGCAGTTCAGTTCAAGTGGTGACTCGCTCTATGGATTTGGTTGGACACATGTGCAGGGTGGCAAGCAGCCTTATTGTTTGGAATTAGGTGGATCTATATACAGTATAATATATATCATATATACACACAATTATACAATATACATCAATATACATATAATACATTATACAATACTATACTATACATAAATTCTTTCCCAGGGATCTATTCTCCTCATTGAGGCTTTCCAACACGATCAAGCGCCGGAGAGGAACACGTTTAGCTCATGAATCTCCAAGGATTCAGCGAACGAATGGCTCTGCCAAGCAGTGTCAGATGTCCGATGGGTGCAAATTTCACCCAACGCTCCCCGTGGCCACCTCACCTGGCGCTCCAAGAGTTGCTTTTGCTCGTACATCGTGTTCGACAGAAAGGTCCAGGTCACGAGATGTCACGAGCAGGTCCGACGCCTTTCTGCGCCGCTCAACATGCAAGTCCTCGCCAGTCGATCTCATGAAGCTCTCCACGTGCTCATCGAGCACGTGCCACCAGGGAGCCTTGACCATGACTGATGTTGAATCTGGTAGATTTGCGAGCCATGGTGTTCTGCAGTAACAAGAATGCCGTCGGGACAAAGCAATGCTGGTTTTAAGACTAAGAGTTCAAGGCAATAGTCCTAGTCCTGATCCGCCTCACGTTTGATCCGCCTTACGTGCTTTGAGATGGGACGACGTCGGGCCAGGCCAGCCAAAACACCTTCAAGCATCTTCCGTTGGATCCATGGGGCTCAAAAAACCGCATCCAAACGCGACAGTATGTCGGAGAGGTGGTTGTTCAGAGGTCCCAGCATACTGCAAATACAAGTACAAATGTCGCCGGGGGGTATATATACCTGGACCCTGAAACGATGTTTCTTTGTCCGTCTCGCAGGAAAACATGACGCAGAAAAATGCAGCAAGTTCGCGATAGAACACATGACGCCAAAATGATGCAGAAGTGACAAAATCAACGCAGAAGTAACAAAATCGACACCAACTCTGCTTGTTGTGTTGTTTGCTTTAGCTTTGCCTGAAAATTGCACCCACCGGAAAACAAAAATATAATGTCTTTTGCGGGGTCTAGGTATATATTATATGTGATCAAACATGTAGTTATATAGTAAAAATAACGAGATCTCGCAGTTGAACCGCGTAACCATGCGAGACCCTAACATGGCTGGGTGTCTACCTAATTATTCAAATACACATGCACCATACATGCACCCAATTGCACCCAGAAGATTCAGCACTAAGCTTCGAACCGACCTCCGAACCATTTCCACACTAACCTGGGGTCCCGGGCGCCGAGCACGCAGGCGGGGCGGCGCGCCGTTGGGCGGCTCCTGCAAGGGATCTTGAAGTTCTCAACCAGTTGGTTGCAGCATCTGGATGGATCTGAATACCAAGTTATATGGAAATCCTTGTGAATCATGGTTTATAGTCTGTTCATCTGGTTCCTAACAGTGAATTGCGAGCTCCACAAGCTCCTCTGTTTCACATATAGTTTCACCAATGAAGTCAGAAATGCAGGACCCTCATGGCCCTGGGGAATCCGCGGTCCAAGCCGTCCATGTGAGAACAGAAGACGGCGATCCCCCCCGGTGAATCGGGGTCCGAGACGGATTTCAGATCTGCTTGGGGGTAGGACTCAGTGCCATGGTGGCACTGTGGGAGGCAAGGCTTTCACCTCCAAGCCAGGTTGGGGACAATTAGGTTGTTCTGCTAATCAATACGGTGGATGAACCGTGGTGTGACCTCGATGTGGGCCTTGCTGTCACACGTGGATTGACCCTTCAACTGACTCCTCAGGTACGAAGAGTGTTGCTACATGTTGCTACTCCGAGAAGGCACAGTGAATGGAACAAGCAGCATCTCTGCAGCTTTCTTATATAAATCATGTCTGAAACCAGGGAATTAAGTTGTCCAATAATTGCAAAGGTGTTGGTGTCTGCCGTCTGCAGCATCCCGCAACTATCATAGAAGCTGAACATGAGGCAGAACCGCCGCCGGCTACGTGGGCCAGGCCGATGCCGGCTGCATGCAAACGTTAGGAAGCTTGCAGTGAGCTCTGTGCACATTGGGAGTGTTCCCTAAACCAGCTTTCAAGCGATTTCGCTCCAGTGCCGTCACATCGCCCCATTTTCAAGCTCCAGTGCACCGAGACATACGGTGCGATCCCTTTCGGTGAAAACGTCGTCACGTCGTCCCGTCGTGTCCTCCACGATGAACTCCAAACCGCCCTCCTGGAGTGATTCAAAGGGATCCTTGGAGCGCTGGCGCAGCGCATGCGCAGCGGCCGACAGACGGGGACGGAGAGAGGCCGTGCCGCAAGACATGAGGATCCATAACGAAAAGACCAAAGGAGCAGATGCTGGATCCACTGGAAGCTGAATCTTTGCACACATGTCAAATGTCTCATAGCCACCAAGGAGATCAGGGAACCTCAAAGGCACACAAAGGACGTGAAAACAAACTGAAAATGAATGCTCGAACATCCTCAGGTAGACTGCTCTAGTGTTGCTAGTCACTACTAGTCCATTCTCTCTTCATCATTTCTTCTCCGAACTGATCATCCAAATCCTTGGTGCACTCTTCCCTCTTCGAACCACGTGCCACCTTGCTGACCCTCCTGGATGGGGAATAGAAAGGCACTTGCTCGAGCCCTGTCTCGTCACTCAGCTGCTCCATGCGCCTCTCATCTCTCGGCATCTCTCGCCCTCCCACCGTCGACGAGCGAAGAACGACCGAGGCCACCCACGTCTTTGACCGTCAATGGACGGAATTTGAACAGAACTCCAGAGGAGGTCTTTTCAAATTGCACCTTAGGATGAAACACGAAAACTCCAGGGCACGCGCCCTGGAGGAACTTCCAATCGGCTCCGGCGTTTCTGGATTTCAAACCCTCAGGTGTTAAGCCTGAGTGGAATTGACATGACACCATACATGCTTCATGCTTCGGAGTGGTGTTGTAACTCAAGCACCTCAGGTGTTGGGAAGCGTAGAACACTGTGCATCACGATGGCAGCGTACTAAAACATGTTGCATCCGATGTATCCAGAGCGTGAACGCCTGTGCTTCCAAGGCAGAGAGGGAAGGCGCTCGGATCGAGGTCGATGAAGCACCTGTAGCATCCTTGCTCCTAGTAGTGAGGCCAGGAGCCCCTAGTAGCGTCCTTGTTGTCCACCTTAGAGAGCCTTGGTAGACCTTGTTCTACAGGGATAATTACCTTTTTTGGGGGGTGGAACTAGCGGGGGCGGTTCATTGATGTACTTCGAGCTCCAAACATTCAGCCCAAGGGTCTAAAAAAACACGAAGTCCACGAAGTCCTAACTATCTAAGACCAGGAATGGTGTGTTTGCCCGTTTCAACGCTTCCGTTGCAAGGCTTCTCATATATGATGGAGACATGTGCCACATCCAAAGGCCCTTGTAGAACCAACGAAGCGGCTCAACCGCTTCAGAGCGACCGTCGACCGTGCTTTTGGCATTGAGTTGATGCCAGCTGTTGAGCTGTGAAATGTTGGCGCCTTGCACTGTTCAGGTTTGAAACTTTGCAGCTTTCGCCATTTCAAACTAGTTCTGTTCGTGGCTAACCACATGTCCATCTTCACAAGTTAGCATGCGCTTTGCAGCTGCACAAAACCTTGAATTAGCTAGGATCAAAATGCCTATGATGGGTGCCTGTGCGGTCCTCTTGAGACTCCAAATTCAGCAAACTTAGCTTTGCTGCTGTACAAAGGAACTCACACCAAACATCTTTCCTGGCTCAGCATGGCTTGCAAACATATTGGTAGCACCAGTAAGTCCACAGCCCCAACTGGCGGCCACTCTTGCATTTCTTTCCGCATGCACCTTACACGTATGCTCAAATTGCAAGAATGCCAAACAAACTGGTGAAAAACCTAGTTTGCATACCCTGGTTTACATGTGGACTTGGGTAAAACGAACTTGTTTGCCCGGCAAACAATGCCTTTCATCAAGAGCAAGTTGCAGTAGAGTAGGTTCGTGCCGGGAACACGTGCACCGTCCCAGTCCGCGGTGCTCGTCTTCTCAAGTGGCAGCGAGCTGCTCTTGAGGCTCTTGCCCTCCTCGGATGACTCGTGCTCGGCTGGTATGCCAGGGCTGCTCTTGAGGCTTTCAGGGCTCTTGGCAACCCCGGATGACTCATGGTTCACTGGGCTCTCAGTATTCCCTGAGCTGGGCTCACTGCCTCGAAGGTTTGCGTTGGCTTCCTCGCACATTTCACACCCGCAGGACTTGCCAACATTGAACATGTACCAAGACCCCATCTCCTTCACACAGGAAAGGCCACAATTGCAGTAGACAAAGTTGTGCCAAGTTGTGTTCGAGCTTGGGGATGCTGCTGCGGGAGCAGCTTGCTTGTTTTGCGCTGGCACTGGGAGGGCATCTTCAGCGGCAGCGGCCAGAAGCAACAAGGAAAGAATGCGGGCCATGATGCACTTTGAAACTCAAAGTACTTGACGAGCCAAATGCTGCAACTTGCCAAAAGATGCCAAAAGAACAGACATAAGAACCATGGACCCTGCATGGTTGGCAATCTCTCAAGCTGCACTGAGGGTATCATTGGAGCAAATGCAGCAAATTTATATGTATATATATATTTACATCGTCAGCCATGTACCAAGCACCGCGAAAGAACAAACCTAAAACTGGGTCTGTGGATAGTTCAAAGCCACACCACAAACGTAACAGAGTGGAAACATGTGGAAACAAATCAAATCCGCACACTCCAAAAGGTGCAATTTCCATACCACTGAAGCTCTAGTAAGGCTTGTAGCAGCCATGTCCAACCTCAAAAAAACATATGTTTCCAAGACCTGACTCTACAGCTGTCAAACATGGAGGGTGGCCCTGCTGATGGAACCAGGAATTCCTGCTTGGAGTGTGGCGTTGGCGCTCCCGTGGACCACCAGGGCGCCCCGCGGGAGTCTTCACCTGACGTTCAGGTGGCGGGTTTCGCTCCACTCACGGGTTAGTTCCGCCTCCACGGCGTTAGAGTTACAACATGTTACGAAAGGTGCTGTCCAAAGATGCTTTTTGTTATAGCAAAAAGCAATGAGGTGTTGATTCATCCACCAGAATCATGCGTTTATAGTGAACACCATGTGCCATGTGTTCAATGGTGTACGATGGCCTTGGCAATGATAATCTCCAGAGATTCCTTTTATATTTGCTACTTTACTGTCTTTGGCGAGTTCTGCTTCTAAGAAGAACGGGTAATGACGTGGAATGATGTCAGTCATCCATGTGAACAGCGTTTGTGCTCCAAGCTTCCCTATACTATCCTATACTCCACTCCGTCTATACTCCATACAACCTATGACATCTATACCTAAGACCTGGTTGGGCCGTCCCACTTTGAGGCCCCGCACGCCCTGCCGCAGCGCACTCTTCCCCGGGCCAAAAAACTCGTCCGCCCATTGTTGGAGGAAGAGCCTCAGCCAGCGAACTTCGCTCTCATCGGAACGGTCAGAAACAAGGAGCGAGAAAAGACGGGGACCAAAAACAACAAACATCCGCTGATTGAGGTGATCTCTACTTATGTGAAGTTCGAGGAAAACAAAGGCCAAGGCGGCCAAATTGATGGTCACGGAGTCACGGAGACCTGATTCACATCCAGGAATGTTCCCACTTGAGATCCACACAAAATGGCACATGCCTATACAACCGAATTAAACGACTCTCCATGTTCTTCTATATGTTGGGCTCGCCTTCTCATAATTGCGTTGCTACAACTACAGTATATAATGGTTCCAAGGATTCGGCTGGCACAGAATCCTCATTTATCAAGTTCGCTAATGCAAGGTAAGGACTTGGCAAGAAATGGGTCCCAGCCCCCAAGTCAAGAAGCCTTTGTTGAGACTTGATACATTCCATTGGGATCTCGAACTGAACTAAATGGAAAGAACCATACTGCCGGTAGAATGTACAAATAATCAAAACGGTTCAGCCCATAGTGACATGACATAGTGCATCCTGTCCAGAATGCAACAGAAGCTGCCCGTTCGGGCAAGAGTATGGCTCTATTTCGGACCATTCATTACATTAGGGTCATAAGTTGCACAATATATTATCATGATTTAGTATATATCAAGTCTAACTAACTCCAATCCGTGTCACCCGGGACTTCGGCACTCCCAACTGGACGCCCCAGTGGCACGGCGCGGGTGACATTCGCCACATCGATGCGCCAAACCTCGGGACCCACGAAGGGCAGGAGCCTCGGCCGCCACGGTGGCCGCGGCTCGAACCATGGGAAAAGCAAACTTCCAGAGCATGGGGCCATGGACGCTACGTTCGGGGCTCCTGGCATCGCTACGAACGGAGCGATCGGACGCTACGTTCGGGGCTCCTGGCCATGGGGCGGAAGATCAGGGGAAATAGACGTGGGGGAACATCGCTGATCACTCCAATCTAGGGCGCTTGGGGTTCTGGTTGGGGTTCTGGTTGGGTGCTTCACGTGATTTCAGGGATCGGAAGTGAGACTCATGATGCTTTTCTTCTGTGCAAGGCCGGATAGAATTCTGGCCGGATCCTGGGGTCACCTGCAGTCGCAGTAGGCGTGAAAAACCCAGAATCCCAACAACCCAACGACACTTGCGGGCACGTTGAAGCCTCAAAGAGAACACCTCGCGTTTGAAGAAGAGGTGATGATGTTCTTTATATGTCTTTTCAATGGGATTTTAGGTGCACTTCTAATGGTTGTCACTGTTGTCACTTGAAATGCATGGATGTCCATCCTATGTCCAGCCAAACCACTACCACACGGTGCTGAGGGCAGTGAATAAACCAAAAATGTCTGGCTGTCTTGCCTCCATTCAGAATCTGCTAAATTCACAGAACATCCAATATACCTGGACCAGTGCCACTACCTGGACCCTCCACCACATGTTTCCTGGTCAATTCCAACTATTTGGGTCCAAAACCCCCCTGTTGGAGCTTCAAGTGGGTCCCTGTATACATACCCCGACTGACTGATGAGATGAGCCCCTGGCAGCTCGCCCCAGTCGGGGGCCACATCGCGCTCCCCCTCCTGACGCTGGACGTCGTCGAACGGTCGACCCTCCCAAAAAGTACCTGGACCTTGACAATGTCCGTTCATTTCCATTCATTCAGAACCTAATAGCGATGGCCTCCACCTAATGGTGTCCTTGCTCATCTTGCTCCTAAAAATTAATGTCCTTTCATTCCCAACATATCACATCAATCCAGATTTCGGATCTCACGGATTTTGTTCTTGAAGTGTCTCAAGACTCCAATGTCTATTAGTTTTAGCGTCACTTTTTTGAGGGTCGCTTCTGCTGGATGTGGGTACAGCCACTGGGCTGTGTTTCACCTGCTACCTGGCGCAACTTCTAGAGAACGCTTTTGGCACATTGATCAACCAGTGTGCCAGCTTGTATCGTCTTGAAGCGGAGACGTCCGCTTCGTTGTTGTTCGTCGTTCCGGGATGGGATCCTAACAGGCCAATTTCCGTTTGTCCACCATGTGTTCTTCCGATTCATCAGCGCCTGAGGCGCGAGGCGCGCCCACACGACCACCGATCCCCATGGTGATTTGTGGCCCAACACCGGTCTGGGAAGCTCCATCGCACAGGGTTCAACCGACTCCCCAAACTGAAACAGGAAGCAGGGATTTCGGAATGTTTACGGGCAAGTGCTTACGACTCCGACACTGGATGTTTCTTTCCGAACGGCTTCCCCTCTTTCAAGAGGAATATATGGCAATATATGGCACCTGAATAGGCTGGGAGAGCCCCCCAGCTCCGAATCGGTCCCAGCCTCGCGTCCGCTCGTTTCGGCTTCCCACATCTCCCTCATCTCCCACGTCTCCCGCATGGTCTCCCGCCCGCCTCTATGACCACAAAGCTGGAGTTCACTGAGCGATTGAACACCTACCAAGCCGGTCCAAGAATTGTCCATCCAAAGCGAACTATAATATATACATATACTATATATATATACATATGTGTGTGTCTTTCTGCTCATGAATACTTCCAGGACTCCAGCAATCTGTACAAACTTAAGGCCACGGAGAATCTTTGGACACAAACCAAATAACAACACAGGCAACACATCAGCGGCTTGCCAGTTACAAGTAACAGGTACTAAAAACGGTATGGTAGGGGGGCCACGGGCCACCAGGCTATGTTTAACTATATGTTTGACATGGGCCCAACTTTTCTGAGGTAAAAGTCACAGTTATGTGCTCTCATTCTCCTCAGTTTTGGCCAAAAAGGAGCTTAAGCTGCCCCCGTTTGAGTCTGAGCACCAATCGGGGATCCACAAACAACTTGGACGTCTGCCAGTCTTGTAGATCAGCTTAATTCAGTGAGAGATTCTGTTGTACATAGCTTGAACAATCTTTAAAGAGTGCCGTTGTAGAAGTAGAATCTTGAATCTTTCGGCACTCCCCACCTATAGGAGCTTTCTGGAACAAACAGCTCGGTGCATTGATGTGGTGTGACTCACCGAACATGTCAACTGATTCCCTCACAAGTGACAAGATGGTGTCATCAAGGCGTGTGGCAGTAAACCGGTCACCTCATTACATCTTATTATATACCTAGAACCTGATTACCCCCCCGTTTTGGAGCCAACACATGGTCTAACTTTTCCTGTCAAGACGGAGGTCAAATGGGTTATATATATATATATATACAGGCCACCACAAGTTCGCTCTTGCGCATCCATCGCACTTCACATCCATCACTTCGTCACGTGACCGTGGGTGACCGTGGTGACCCCGTTTGAAACATAGGAACAAGAAGCTACTAGGGGCTCCTGGCATCGCTACTAGGAGCAAGGACGCTACTAGGGGCTCCTGGCCATACTACTAGGAGCAAGAACGCTACTAGTAACAAGTGCATCGCTTCTA